GCGATTAAAAATTATAATAAAAAGTACACCGTCTGAACACACTGTTTTTCGCATAAATTATTCGGTGCAACAACACATACTATCATGGTGTATGCTTTAGAACTTAAATTAAAATTCTCATTACAGTCGATTTAGACAAAAAAAAAAAAAAAAATAATTCCTAAAAAAAATAGGCTTCATTCCCTTTATAAAAACTTACAAACAAACTACTTTTAATTTTGGGGTGAAATATGACCCAGCAATTTATGCACAAGTTTGATTCACACATGACACAATGGAAAAAAAGCTAAAAAGTGAATGTTTTTCCAATTTTACATTGTAACGTTCTCTTACACCTCATTCATGAGAAGCGATACAGGACCGGTTTTGAGGGACTTACACAGACTCTAGTTTTTTAAACTCCGGGATGGGCTCGACTTTTTTGCGGAATATGAGCCAGTAGACGAGCAGGCCAGCGATGAGAGAGAAGAGGAAGATGTCCAGGTTACTGAAGAAGGGCTCGTCCTCGTCCATCAGCTCCGGTGTGTCTGCCATCGTTACGAGGAGCGCAGCTGCGAGAGAGGGAACAGCTCGCAGAATTAGCAGCTGACATTATGATGTTAGGTTGCGATTTTCTAAAAAAGGACATTTTAGCAAACATCGCATGTCTGATCCATGTACATGGATGTAATTTAGGAAGGGGAATTTTATCTAAAGTAAAGAAAAACTACTAAATAAAAACCAAAGTATGCACTAGATTTGACAAAATATCACAATTTTCATTTAGGAACTGTTGTCGTCAAGTAAGTTTCATTTATAATGACCCTCTTTTTAACCCTTGTGCTGAAAATCCATTGCCTAATTTAGTGTTCCTGGTAAAAAATGAAAAACTGCTTATAAATCTCTCATTATGGTAAAATAATCACCTTGTATATTAATCTTAAACTTGCTTTCTTTTAATTAGAGCACAGGTTTTGTATTTCTTTTTGCAAAAGACTGATTGCAGGCCTCGTTAATCTGAGTTTTTGAGTGAAAGACGCATTATTTGTGGATAATTTTGGCAATATTCACCCAAAAAAAACTGAGGTGCATAAGCTCAGATCAATGAGAACTAGTCAGCTTCGAAACTGTGCTGACTGAAAGAAAACAAGTTCATAAAAAGACTGAATCCAATAGTTATTAATAATATGAGTGATAACAAGAAATTTATAAGCAATTTTTGTAGGCCAATAAGTCTTGGAAAAAAAAATCTCAAAATTGCAAAAAATATATATGCAAGTTATTATACCCTGTATTTGTTGTTATTATGTATATAAATAATTAAACCCTGTGTGAGCAAAGTCTTAGTTTTAGTCCAATGCAATAACATTAACTAGCATTTTTGGGAAAAGGTCAAAATGACCAGTCTAAAATTTCATACTGGTATTGTCCCTCATAATCAGTATAACCGATATGCGCAAAACATATCCTCTCTGGTTGCAAACATCATTATTTACATTACACTCTAATCACTGGATCACGATTCATCCAAAGAGAAACTCTTTAACGAAAGCTTCTTGTGACTTTCTTGTGAACATTCTATTAAATGTTATTTAAAGGGACAGTAACCAAACAAACAGTTGATGGTAGCCATTGATTTCCACTGTAGGGGAAATAATACTATGAAAGTCAATGGCTACCAGTAACTGTTCAAAATATCTTCTTTTGTGTTCAACAGAAGAAAGAAACTTCATTTTTGAGTAAACTAGGCCTTTCAATATCAAAACAAACTAACCTAAATAAGCCAGTCCAGCTATGAAATTTACATCCAACCTTTTTTTTTTATCACCCAATGGCAAACAGCACTACTATTATCTCACAGCTTTGCTTTTACAAGCAATGCCATGTTCAGCCTCCGAAGTCCATGTCGCCACCATAGCAACCCGTCAGTGCAGTAATAAGTGCCCCTGAGACACAGTAACAACCAGTGTGAACTCAATTAAAGGACTGTCTAATACAGGAACATGGTCTGAAGAAACACACCAATATACTGTTGTGACATTGCAAATAGAGCCGCTCAGTCATGATGTCGGCCAGTCTAGAAGGATAATGTGCCATGGTTACCGCAGGGATTTCCTATGACCTTTTAAAAAAAAGCAGCTTTTGTTTTATGAGTAAAATATGTCTGTGCTAACAATGCTTGAACAGACTTACATGCTTTGTTCTACAACAGAAGTTACATTATTTTAAAAACGCAAGTTGCTGAAGGGCTACAATGATTGTCAGATTCATCAAGCACATAAACGCCAAATGCGGTAGTTGTTTGTTTCATCGTGGGAACAGATTTGGAGAAATGCAGCATTGCATCAGTGTCTCAGCAATGGATGCTCTGCAGTGAATGGGTGCCGTCAGAATGAGAGTTATGCATGCTTGAAAGAAACAAATCCATCATTCGGATGTTTTTAACTTCAAACCATTGCACAACTTTATGTGCATAATGGATTCATATTTTGGTTTGAAGTTAAAAACTGATGGATTTGTTTCTTACAAACATGCAGCTTTTGGTTTCTCAAGACATTAACTGATGGACTGGAGTGCAGGTGTGGATTACTTGTGTGGCCTGAGGGTGAGAGCATTTTCAATTAAATTAAATCTTTTTCTTTCATTCTGAACATCTAAAAGAAATCCCAGTGGGAGCCCATTGCTCAAAAATGCTCATTCTCCTCCAGATGTCAGGATTACAAACCGAGGAGCTCCTTTGAGGAAAAGCGAATACAGCGAAATTAATATGAGATGACTGGCTATATTTCACGCTCCCATCGTGAAAATTAAAAATCGGGAACCATGCATTTGACAAATACATCAGAGCACGTGTTTGAGAAATCTGCATGCTCAGCATCAGGCAGAGACCATGACCCAGCTCAAAATTACAATATCACAGTTTAAAACTGCCATGTCACAGCAGACCAACCCACTCATTGTGACAGAAATAAAGAGTTAACTACTAATGATCTCTAGAAAAAAAAAAGTGCAGTGCACCAGACCATCTTTGCACGCTACTGTTGTACAAAATTGACTGCACACTTAAGTATTTTAGTATATTAAGAGTATTTTAAGTAAAATCGCAAGTTAATTCACGAACTATGTGAAACAGTACTAAAGGGCCATTGAGATTCACACACATTTTTTTTTTGCACTTAAAAACAAGAAATTCAACAGTGAACATGTAAATCCATGCATAAAGCCAAATTATTAACACTTAGTCCGTGAATAGCTACTTTCTACAAACTCAAAAACATAGAAAACACCACAGATTATATTAATTCATTTAATTTGCCGGCGTAAAAAAAGTTGTGCATTTTAATTAGGAAATCAGTATGCATATTCTAAAATGTTGAGCAAACGTGGGAACTCTAAACTATAGAATAAACTCTCAAAAGAAATAAGTTATATAAGCAGTGTGAGGTCTTTGTGTTTACATCGTTCTATAAAACCGAAGAACAAAGTGAGGACTAAAGATGCATTACTTATCCACCGCAAATCATTTTTTGCAAAAGATCTAATCAACTTAAGCTGACTGCTAAGCTGATGCCAACTCTATAAGATAGTTTTAAAGCATGAGAGTTTGAGAAGAGCCCTTACCTGCTCACTTTGAGCGCTGCCTGACAAGCGTTTCGCGAGATGCGGAAACTCTCCGTCATTCACGCGCGACCCGTCCATTCCGCCGAGGGGGGGGGGACGCGTGCAGTATTTGTGAATTTATGCCTATTTACGTGGGTAAACACTGTCATATGTGTCTGTAGTGTTTTTTAATCAATGTTTCATATATGTAGTAGTGTGTCCTTATTTCGCGTTGTGGTAGTTTAATGTCGAGTAAGGTTTACATCACTTTAAATCCCCCCCCCGGTAATGCAGTAGACGCTTCGAAAGGAAGGGTTTGTAATGCAGAATATGCAACGTTTAAATCATCAATTTCAAAGTGCATCGGGTTAAGGGTGAGGGTTATGCAATCGTTTGGATGGCACGTCCCTGTAGACTTACCTCGGTCGTTTAGGAGTCTAGGTTGCAAAAGTATAACAAGGTGAAACAAAATGTTTTCTTATAAATTCCCAACAAGGTTAATATCTCATCTAAACACTCTATTATGTCACAAAATTAGAAAATTATAATAGTTATTTTTGTTTGTTTAATTGCATATGTGAAGTCTGATGTGTACACGCCCACTTGTTTCCAAAAAAGCCAACTATGTGCTTGACTTTTTTTTTTTTTTTTTTAAATAAACACTTTATGTTTGTTTATTTTTGTTATTAGTCAACTTAATTGATTAAATAACTACTGATCAAACTGAACAAATACGGATTAAAGTTTTAAAGGGATAGTTCACCCAAAAATTAAAATGTGATGTTTATCTGCTTACTCCCAGGGCATCCAAGATGTAGGTGACTTTGTTTCTTCAGTAGAACACAAACGGAGATTTTTAACTCAAACCGTTGCAGTCTGTCAGTCGTATAATGCATGGCAATGGTAACAAAATCTATGAGAGTAAAAAAAACATGCACAGACAAATCCAAATTAAACCCTGCGGCTCGTAACGATCATTTTTTACCTCTAATACACCACTAAGTCCAACTGTCTTTGGGCGCGCGCACGGCATCCGGTGCGTGAGGTGTGTACGCGCTCTGGCGTAGTTTACGGATGTCATCCCCTGAGACAGCAGAGAGTAGCCAGTCAAGCAATGAAGTTTCTGTAGAGCAGTTTGTCCGTGTAGGGCTACTGTAGAAACATGGCAGTGGAAAATGTCGACTTCCATGTAAGGGGACCCGCGGTGTATATAGATTGAAATTGCTCATTCTACGGTAATACATGCATAACGGTTAATTATGTAAGGTCTTCCTTATACACCTCAACACAAAATATAGTTATGTATATTATATTGCATTTCAATATTACACACTGGACCTTTAAGATGTTTATGATTTGGAATTTATGTAAAACTGGCATCTATCAGATGTTTGTTCACAGCAGATGCGTTCTGTGTGACTCCAATCCTCCAGGAGGCGCTGCGGCGGTGAGTCGCGGTTAATGAGAGACGGGAAGAAGCGCATCGAGAACCTGAAGACCGTCAAACATGTCGATATTCACTCCTACTAACCAGATCAGGCTAACTAATGTTGCCGTGGTGAGGATGAAGAAAGGAGGGAAGAGGTTTGAAATAGCCTGCTACAAAAACAAAGTGATGAGTTGGAGATCTGGAGCGTGAGTGTCGTGCTCATTATATAATGTCTTTATGTTCGTGTTGTGTTGATTCTGTTATTACAGCTGTCGTGACAGCCTTAAAAGTGTTAAATTAGCGTTATAACACTCTTTGAGGAATTTTCATTGCGTGTCTTTGCTGGTTTATGCTAATACTAGCATAAACATTGTCAAGTTCAATGTAAATCGAAGAGCTTTCAGTGATCAAACTGAACAGAGTGTTTAAAAACAACACTGACTTTGAATATAATAATAATAGTAAATTAAATGAATGATAAAAAGTATTTTTTACATTATTATTATCTCTAATTATACAAATAATGATGGCAGAAATGTATTACTATTGTAATAATACAGTTGAACTGTACAATAAATATGAATTTTTGATTATTATAATAGTAATGTGTTTAGTTCACAACGTGTTTATCAATACTTCTCGCTACAAATCTGGTAAAACTGTTGGAAATTATACAGTTGTGATAATACAATGATCCTGGTGCATGTTGCGTTCCCCAGTGCAACCCAAACATCGCGGCGCATGCTGAGAAACATGTTAGCAGTTAATGTGAAGCTCTGTGAACTGCTCTGAGACGCTGAAACTGGCTTAAAGCGATAGTTCACCCAAAAATGAAAATTTGCTGAAAATGCTCTCACCCGCAGGCCATCCAAGATCAGGATGAGTTTGTTTCTTCATCAGGTTTGTAGAAATGCAGCATTGCATCAGTGTCTCAGCAATGGATGCTCTGCAGTGAATGGGTGCCGTCAGAATGAGAGTCCAAACAGCTGATGAAAACATCACAATAATCCACAAGTAATCCACAGCACTCCAGTCCATCAGTTAACATCTGGAGAAGACAAAAGCTGAAACAAATCCAGCATAAAGATGTTTTTAACTTCAAACCGTCGCTTTTGGCTAAAATACAAGTTCATAATCCATAATAACGCTTCCTTCAGTGAAAAAAGTGGTCTGGTGTGAACAGGAGAGAAATCTGCACAGAGCAAGCACCGTTTAAACAGCTCTAAACAAATATGTGCTGGATTTTGATGTAAGAGACAACAGCAGATGGACTTTTTCACTGAAGGAAGCGTTATTATGGATTATTAACTTGTATTTTAGCCAAAAGCGACGATTTGAAGTTAAAACCATCCTAATGCTGGATTAGTTTCAGCTTTTGTCTTCTCCAGATGTTAACTGATGGACTGGAGTGCTGTGGATTACTTGTGGATTATTGTGATGTTTTCATCAGCTGTTTGGACTCTCATTCTGACGGCACCCATTCACTGCAGAGCAAGTGATGCAATGCTACATTTCTCCAAATGTGATGAAGAAACAAACTAATCTACATCTTGGATGGGCTGAGGGTGAGCACATTTTCAGCAAATGTTCATTTTCTGAAAACTATTCCTTTACGGTATTTATAATGTCATATAATGGAAATTTCCACAACCATTTTCTAAGACAATTTGTCATTTTCTTAAGTGACATTAATGTAATGTTCACAAATCAACTGTACTGTTGTTGTTGTTATAGGGAGAAGGATCTTGATGAAGTCCTGCAAACAAACACAGTGTTTGTCAATGTGTCTAAGGGTCAGGTGGCAAAGAAAGACGACCTGTCAAGCGCTTTCGGCACAGACGACGTGACAGAAGTATGCAAACAGGTCAGTTTGCTGTTGTGTACAGCTGATTTATGATCTGATCTGTCCTGACTGTGTGCATCATAAGAAGACTGTTTAATACAAATCCTTAAGTGTTTCTACATAATTGGGTGGTTTTCATTTATGTGCAGATTTTAGCTAAAGGAGAGCTACAGGTGTCAGACAAAGAGCGACAGAGTCAGCTGGAGCAGATGTTTCGAGACATCGCAACTATTGTGGCAGAAAAATGTGTGAATCCCGAGACCAAGCGGCCCTATACAGTGATCCTCATCGAGAGAGCCATGAAGGACATTCACTTCTCTGTGAAAGCCAACAAAAGCACTAAACAGCAGGTGAGCAGAGCCGGATCGTGTGAGGATCTCACGGTCGCTGACGAGGTCTCTGTGGTTAATGCTAGCGTCTGTCCGTCTCTGCAGGCTCTCGAGGTCATCAAGCAGCTGAAGCAGTCCATTCAGATTCAGAGAGCTCACATGCGGCTGCGCTTCGTGCTGCCGGCCAAAGACGGGAAGAGACTGAAGGAGAAGCTCAGGCCCTTAATAAAGACCGTTGAGAACGAGGAGTTTGATGATCAGCTGGAGATGGTGAGAGTCTTCAGGGGCAATTTATTCATCAGCTCATTCATTCAGATATGTGACCCTGGAGCACAGAATCAGTCTTAAGTGTCAATTTTTCAAAATACATAATCTGACAGCTGAATAAATAAGCTTTCCATTGATGTGTGGTTTGTTAGGATAGCACAATATTTGGCTGAGATACAACTATTTGAAAATCTGGAATCTGAGGGTGCAAAAAAATCTAAATATTGAGAAAATCATCTTTAAAGTTGTCCAAATGAAGTTCTTAGCAATGCATATTACTAATCAAAAATTAAGTTTTGATATATTTACGGTAGGAAATTTACAAAATATCTTCATGGAACATGATCTTTACTTCATTATAGAAAAATGTATAATTTTGACCCATACAATGTATTGTTGGCTATTGCTACAAATATACCCCAGCGACTAGGTTCACATATTACTGGGCTGTAAACCAGGGATGTGCCGGCATGGTTGACTAATCGACTAGTCATCCAACAACAGACTAGTTAAATATAAGTATGGAAGCCCATTTCCACTGCGGAATAAAAAAAAAGTTATAAAAATTATGACTTTTTATCTCACAGTTATGACTTTTTTTTCCAAGATGTCTAGGTTCACATATTACTGGGCTGTAAACCAGGGATGTACCGGCATGGTTGACTAATCGACTAGTCATCCAACAACAGACTAGTTAAATATAAGTATGGAAGCCCATTTCCACTGCGGAATAAAAAAAAAGTTATAAAAATTATGACTTTTTATCTCACAGTTATGACTTTTTTTTCCAAGATGTCAACTTAGAATTCTGAGAAAAAACTCTTTTGCAAGATAAGTTGCAATTCTATTTTTTTCTGTGGCAGAAAACAACAACAACAACAAAAAGCTAAATTGTGAGATGTAAACTCAGAATTCAGAGAAAAATAGAATTGCGAGTCGCAATTACAGTCATTCTTTTTATTTATGCCGTGGTGGAAATGGGCTGGTGTTTTTATTGTGTGCTACTGGACTTCCAGGTGTCTGTCAAAACACTGCAGTAGGTGCTATGTTTTAAAAAATAGTTGCAGTAGAAAAAAGGCACAACACAAACTAGATGTTGTGCACCGACAATATTTCCATTCGAACAGTAATGAATCTTGAATGCTGAGCGAGGATGGCACGTTACATTGAAGCACATATTTCACGTAAGCACTTTCTATGATGAACAGGTTTAAATGAGGCTTTTAGTTGAAGGGTAAAAGTATTCTAAAAAACATGCAATGACCCCACAAAAGTGTTTGGACACTTAAGATACAGTTAAAAGAAACTGTGTCTTTGCATTATATATCAAAATATTGAAACTAGTGGCATTTATTGTAAAGAAATATAGCACAAGCATGAAGTTTGTTAGGTTTCTAAACATGAAGCAATAACTGTTTTTTGTTTTTTTTTTCAAAATAAGTACAACAACTCTTTGAGACTTTTTGCTTGTCAAGCTTTGTGAAACATGGTAATATAATGAAGTACACCGCTGCTTATTCTGCGAGGACACCTGTCTTAACTTGACTTCATATAAAAAAAAAAAACTGAAAATGTTAGTTTTGAGAAAAGCTCTAGTATCATTTGTTTGCAGATGACATTTGATATTTTGTATGTAATGCAATGAAAATCAGTGAATTTTTACGGGTGAATTACCTGCCAACACTGGTTGTATAAATGCAATGCATATACAGCCCTCTACGAACACCTTGGCAATTGAATCGCCATTGGCTAGTAAATTTTTTTGTTTACTCGCCAGACTGATAAATATATACATACATATATACACACATATACACACACACCATATGTTATTTGATTGTTATTCAATCACTTTATGTATATATATTCTCAATGTTTTATTTGAGTTAAGGTAAAGGCGTTTCCTATTTTCCAGGTGTGTCTGATAGATCCCGGTTGTTTCCGTGACATTGATGAGCTGATCCGCTGTGAGACTAAAGGGAAGGGGACGCTGGAGGTGCTCAGTCTCAAAGATGTGGAGGAAGGAGACGAGAAACTAGAATAACCTGCTCATCTAACCAACAAATTAAACTATTGCTGACTCATTTTATATGGAGAGCCTTTTTTGATGAGTTATAGCACTCTATGACCCAACTGCTAGCAGTATATTCACAGCTGGGACAGGCTTTAGTAACAATACTAAAGATATGCTATGCTATGAAAGATATGCTGGAGCACTGCCTAGCCAATATGCATGAGAAAAGTATTAAATTGGCAAAACGGTAACGGCTCATTCATGCCAGAAACAATAACTATACAAGGCATGCTTATTGTTCATCAGCATTTTTAAAGTGATTCCTGTGATATCGTTCCTCTGTGACATTATTGCTTTAGTTGTGGTCTGGATTTTATGGAAGCTTGTTTCCACCACTGAATAAAAGCAAAAAAGGTAATTGTGACTTTTTATCTCACACTTCTGACTTTGTTTCTCAGAATTGCTTGTTTATAATCTTGCAATTCTGAGAAAAAAATCAGAATTGTGAGATAAAAAGTCACAATTACCTTTTTTACTTTTATTCAGTGGCGGAAACAAGCTTCCATAGGATTCTGCCATAATTTAAAATGATAATTATATATATATATTTAATATTGTTATCATTATAGATATTGTCATTGGTGTGAATGGATCTAAAAACAGTAAACACAACTATAAGCCAAGTGTACTTGTAATACTTCATTATACTTCTCTTAAGTATATATTATCTCTAAATAAGTATAATTTTGTTATGCTAAAGTACATAAAATGTAGATTGAAAGTATACTCTTATTTTTAATTTAAAAAGTACTGTATTCTAATAGCACACTGGAATAAACTTTTGTACAGAGTGGTTAATCTTTTAATTTGCAATCTTATTTTTTTACATTAAAAAATAGCTTTAATTTCAAACACATTATGTTTGATTGCATAAAAATATACTAAATTTACTCCATAATTAACTATCAACAAGGAATAATAGTGCGAAACTACTGTTTTCAGTAGCTTGGCTGTATTTAAAATAATGCAGCTTTTGTAGAAAAAAACCCCCTAAAACGTAAAGAAAAAAAAACGTACCCTGAGATACGGGAACGAGTACTGCGGCTTGCTTAAGACGCTAAGGGGAAAACTCCTTTTTCTCTGAATACTGAAGCCTTTTTCAATCACACAGTGAAACTGCACGGCCATTGGTTTGTGCAGTGTATTAAAAACGGAGCTGCATGAGCCTATGGCGGCACAGCCCGCCAGAGCCCGCCAATTTGGGCGGGGCATCTGGCTATATAAGCGTGCACTTCGCCATAGGATCCTCAGGTTACTTCGACTGAAGCAACGACCGAGTCGTGCAGCTACATAGCACGGCCAGCAACGCAGTACTCGTTCCCGTATCTCAGGGAACCGAGGTTACGTTAGTAACCGAGTA